AGCTTACTTTTCTGATACCCAAATGACCTCTTATTCATAGGGTTTTTAGTGGCCTTTAAGGGACCAATTCACAGATTTTCTTCCTATCTAGATTGTTAATATTCACGCATTATTTCTTCTGACCTGTATGCATTTTTCCCCTTGTTCCATTAAACTGGTAAATTCCCATTCAGATTAATGAATGAGAAGTGCTTCATATGATTAATAACATGGAGACCAACCTCGTGTACATATAGCATGTGTTCTCCAGTTGATATTCAGACCACCAATATTTTTTTCAACTGAGCCCAAGATAATCAATAGAGTGGCCATCAACATTTCCCTTTGTTAAATATAAATAATAAAACAATTAAACAGTACTCCTCTGTAAGATGGTGTACCAAATCCACATTTTAGCACGGCAGTTTACAACTTTCCTGATCTTTATTTAAGCCCAGATGTTGGGCTGTTTTTTTATTACAAGTTTCAACAAGGCACAGTTCCCTATTTGAAGATTATAGCGCTTACTTAACTTGGCAATAGCAAGTAGGGTTATAGTGGACAGTCACATGATAGAAGAAGCAGAGTCAACATTTTGTCTTCAGGTATTATAAAGCTTTTGCAAGAATAATGGAGGAACTTTGACACGTTCAATAGTAAACTTGTAGCAATGAGGGGAAAAACACAGCAGCGTAACCCTTATTGAGCTCCTAGTGCTGGCCAACTTTCTATAGTAGTGCTTAGTTCTTTGTGTACATTATCTTATTTAATATTCACAAGGTTATTTGCATTACTTTAAGATCATGCACTGGCCTGGAAACCCAGAGTGCAAAGATGACGACACTTATTTCCATGATCCTCAAAGCAATGAAAGGGGCCCCGGTGGCGCAACGGTTAAGGGCTTGGCTGCTAACCAGAAGGTTGACGGTTCAAACCTCCATAGTGAATCTTCAGAAGAGAGGCCTGCAGATCTGCTTCTGTAACGATTACAGCCTAGAAACCCTATGGGGCGTTCTACTCGGTCACAGGAGGCCGCTATGACTTACGAATGGATTCAACAGCACCTAACAACAACAGAGTGATGACAGAAATCTTTCTGAATCTTCATCAGAAAGAAGAACGTAGAATATTCGTACAAAACAACTCTCACATCAACTGCAATATCAGAATGATCGAGCTACTTGTGATCATTCTTCTTTTGTGCTGACTGGGAAAAAGTGGTTAAGGTCTGCAAAGGCCACTGTTTTGTTTGCTTATGTTTAAATTCTGCCACAGTAGCTCAGTAAGCAAGTATCAAGGTGACCAGGCCCTATCTCTGCTTTCCTGTCCAGTTCAAGTGTGTGGCAGCTGGCACATAACTAATTATAACAACTTGTCACTTCGTCTGATTCTTGAGTCATCCCCTGTTTTCATATGTGAAGAATTTTGAACTGAGTTAATTTGGTTATACCACAGTCCAAACTAAATCATTATGATTTCCAAGTCAGCAAACATGCTTGCCAGATTTAGTAACAGCCCAGTCCACGCATGTGGTAGGGCCAATGGTTCTGGTAATCAGCATCTTCTTTCAGTGCCCATGGTGTATACACTTGGCGGAAAGAAGAAAGCTGGTATACTCCGTGTATTTGTTACAGATCTGTTAGCCTCTTTCTCTGATTGCCAACCTAGGTTTGGATCTAAATTTAGAACTTCAAAAGCCAATGAAGTAAAATACCTATAGTGGCCAACAGAAAAATGAACTGTGAAATGGAGTAAGAGAGAAAGCCCTGAGAATTGCTGATGCTTGAAATGTGTGTGTGTGTTTGTGTATGCACATATACACATCCATGTAGAGTTTAATTTGTACATATGTATGTAGAGTTGATTTACATATATACATATATATATATATGTATGTATCTGTGTCTATGTATATATGTGTATGTATGTGTATATATCTCTGTATGTATATCAAGGGAGAAAGATGTGACAGTGTGCTTCCGTAAAGATACACTGCCTTGGAAACCCTATGGGGCAGTTCTGCTCTGTCCTGCAGGGTTGCTATGAGCCAGAATCAACTTGACAGCAGTGGGTTTGGTTTTGGTTAATATGTATACATATATATACACACACACACATATATGTAGAGTTGATTTAAATATATATATGCATATATATGTATGTGTGTGTATATATAATATATATATAATTTAAATGAACCAACTGAAAGTTTGTGATAATTCAGTGTTTGAACCACAGCCTTTCTTCTAGTTTTGTTTGTGAAATTGTTAAATAGAGACACACACACAACTTTAGTCTGTGCCATTTACACTAGTTTTAAATGTAATACACGGCTGCATAGTTTGTTGTTGGTTGCCATTGGATTGGCTCCGACTCATGAAGACCTTCTGGATGACCGAGTGAAAGGTTGCCTGACCTGCGCCATCCTCCTGACCGTCGGTGTGTCTGAGTCCACTGTTGCGGTTATTGTGTCACTTCATCTCACGGAGGGTTTCCCTCACCTTGGCTGGCCCTCTGCTTTGCCAAACATGATGTCCTCTCTAGTAGTTGGTCTTTCCTGATGATGTGTCCAAAGTAAACAAGTGAAAGTCTTGCCATCCTTGCTTCTAAGGAACATTCTGGTTGCATTTCTCTTAGTACTGTTCGTGTTGATATTGAGAATTCTAAGTGGAACCTTGGAACCATACTTACTGTAGCTAATGTTGCTACTTTCCTTCTTTTGTTAATGAATCTAAGAACAAAAAATAAAGTATTTCCCCTTGTGTTGAATCATAATAAAGTATTAATGCTTTGATGTGCATTGAACTTAGAAGTAAACATGAGAAAGATGATTGTGGCTGGAAAACAACAATATTATTTGAGGCTGCAAACATCTTTCTCATGGTACGTAACATTTCTAGCTCCTACACAGATTTGTAAAGGAGGACTGGGAAATGGTACCTGACTGGAGAGAAGGTTCCAGGTGAGAGCAGATTTAGAGGGGCAAGGGTAGGGCCTGGGGAGCTGTCTTGGCCACATTTTCTATTAGCAAAAGGAGATAGGGTGAAGGTTAGTGTTAAGGCACCTGCCTTAGTCACTGTCTTACATAAGGCAAGGAAGGGTAGGAATAGAGTTGGGTTAGGGGTTATATCTGGCGCTGGTCCGGATGTCTTGACCACCCTCTTCCACAAACAAATGGAGGCTTAGGGTGAAGCTTAGGGGTGGGGTGGCTGTCTTGGCCACCATCTTACCTAAGACAAAAGTAGCATTAGGGTTTTGGTTGGATTCGGGCTTCAGGTTGGGTCTGGGCCTGGGCTGGGGCTGGTGTGGGTGTCTTGGCCTCTTCTGTAAGGCACAAAGAGGGTGAGAGCGCAGAGAATGTCATTTCCCTTTTTTTCCTCAGGTGGGCACTTCTAGGAGCCATAGGAAAAATATGCATTGGATAAATGATTTTTCATATTACTTATGCTTTTTCAGTAAGATATCCCTCTAATTAATCAAGGACTACCTGCTGTCACTAATATTTGATTGATTAGGGGTTTAACCAAAATGCCATCAGGAAGATGCTGTTCAGGACCCAACTGTTTCATGGGTAACATATGGGTATGTTGATTTTCAAAGAAAATTCATATTCTTTTACTGTATAATTCACTGACGATTTCATATTGATAAAAGACTCTGCACATTAACTCTAAAGTCTGGATAATATTAAAATATGTTCAGTTAACTGAGGCTTAGAAAACTTCGTGATAGAACATCGATAAATGCATTACCATTATGAGGTCAAGAGTCCCACAGGGTGCTGCTAAACGGTTTTGATCAGTGTTTAGAGTATGTGGGGGAAATAATAGGAGGACCGGTCAGCAAAGAGATTATATGTATACCTTTGTTTGCTAACAAGTCGTTCTAATATACATACACAGTGTGCTAACAAGTGTTCTAATGTATACATATATATATGTTTATCTCCATCCATCCATCCATCCATCCACCTATTTCAAGAGTAAAACAAAGTCAATCACTAGAATTCATAGCAGTCATTCTTCATTAAAAGTAGGAGTAATAGATTCTTCTTTCTCTCTCTCTCTCTTACACACACACACACACCCCCCCCAAATTTATATTATTTCTAAATACTAAAATGTATTTTAAAGAATGTGAATAAAGTACTACCAGCAATACCAGTTTTGAATTGCATGCTGGCTTACTATTTTCAGAAGTTCATCCTTATCTTCTGTCTTAGTTATCTAGTACTGCTGTGACAGAAATACCACAAGTGGGTGGCTTTAACAAACAGAAATTTATTCTCTCTCTCACGGTTTAGGAGGATGGAAGTCTGCATTCAGGGTGCCGGCTCTAGGGGAAGGCTGTCTGTCTCTGTGGGCTCTGGGGGAGAATCCTTGTCTCTTTTCAGCTTCTGTTTCTTGGCTCCTTGGTGATCTTCATGTGGCTTGGCATCTACCTTCGCCCACCTCTGCTTGCTTAATCTGTTCCTTTTATATCTCAAAAGAGATTGATTTAAGACACACTCCATAATAATACTGCCTCATTAACATAACAAAGAAAACCCATTCCCAACTGGGATTGTAACCACGGTATAGGGGTTGGGGTTTACAACACCTGTGTTCAGGGACACGATTCAACCCCTAACACCTTGCTAACAAGCGAGATCTCTCGAAGGCAGTGTCGCTGCCCCGTTTCGCTCTCTCTCTCCAAAATGTACTCATCATGCGTTGTGAATATTTGAAGTCAATCCTTTGACAACTTGGAGCTGAAATAGAAGGAATCATCTGTGACTGTGTGCACACCTAGATGGTACGTGTCTGTTTGATGCAATATAGAGGCGTAACTATAGGTCATCTTCCTTTGGGAGATTAGCAGAAACATTACTTTTATAGGGAAGAGAGAACAGATCCATTTACTTTGTGAAATACTCCAGGGGAATTTGGACAGTCTAAGCATGCTGGGCTGCTTTTCCAACGCATGCAGGTCCGATTCTTGTGTCTTTAACAGGAGCCTGTTTCTGTTCTTTGCTCCCTCAGCCCCTCTTCCCCAAGAAGAACTATGAATGCTTGACCAGCTGTGAGTTCCTCAAGTACATCCTGTCGGTGAAGCAAGGAGATTGCCCGGCCCCTGAGAGGGCCAGTGGGTTCGCTGCCGCCTGCGTGGAAAGCTGCGAAGTGGACAGTGAGTGCTCCGGGGTGAAGAAATGCTGTTCCAATGGGTGTGGGCACACCTGCCAAGTGCCCAAAACTCTGTACAAAGGTAAGGTGCCACACTGTGGGTTCCGGGTTCCAAGGGGACGTCATCTTCACAGGAGTCCTTGTGTGCATGCGGAGGGTGCCAATCACAGACGTGCAAATCCCAAGGAAACATACAACCTGAAGAAGGTTCATCTTGTGCCACATACAAGCATCTGAAAATATTTACATGCCATAACTCACACTGAGACAGAGAAGGGTGGATTGTTCGTATTAATTCATTTTTTAATTTGACATGTTTTAGGACAGCAATAATTCAGAAACTATTTTTTTGCATTTTTCCCCAGTAAGAATGAGTCATTTAAGCTCTACTAGGTACATTGGAGTGAATGGACTTTAAATCCTTGGAAAAGAGTTGTGGGAGGGTGGGAGCAGCGCAGGGGACACACGTTAAAATGCTTACTAAATGTACAGTGTTGTGTTTTTCTTCTGGTATAAATAATCTAAGAATCTGAATGTCATTGTATAGACTTCGGATATTTTGATTAATTCTCTTGAGTTCAGTGTCTGCGTGGTAGAAACAGGTAAGCGCTCAACTACTAATCAGATGGTTGGCAGTTCAGACCCACCCAGAGGTGCCTCAGAAGACAGGCCTGGCTCTCTGCTTCCATAAGATCCCAGCCTTGAAAACCCTATGGAGCACAGTTCTACTCTGCACACATGGGGTTACCATGAGTTGGAATCGACTTGAGAGCAACTAACAACAACAACAGCATCTTGAGTTCACAGGCAGAGGAAGAGCCCCCTCCAGAAGATGAGGATTTCATTGAACAATTGAGCAGAGGCAATAGTTCACAGTCGAAAGCAGTTTCTAGAGCATTTAAAAATTCTTTGATGCTAAATGTCACTTGCCTTTTTCTGTAAATGTGATTCAACTCTTTTATGCCAAACCAGTTGTATAGTTTTGGATGCTATCAAATTATACAATGATGCATAACATTTTGTTACTTTTTTTGTCTAATTTCAAGTATAAAATGCAATCAAGCGTTAGGTTGATCAGCGGTCATTCTTCATTAAAAGTAGAGGTAATAATAGAACTTTCTCTCTCTCTCTCATACACATACTCATACACACACACGCACAGGCCCCAAATGTATATTATTTGTAAATACTGATATACTGATTTTTTTTTTTAAATGTGAGTAAAAGAATATTCACCAGCCATACCAGTGTTGAATTAAGTGCTGGCTGCCCATTTTCAGAAGTTCATCCTTACCTTCATCGCAAGTCAGATCTTTCGAAAGCAAAGTAAAAGACAAAACCACTGCCATCGAGTCAATTCTGACTCATGACTACCCTATAGGACAGAGTAGAACGGCCCCATAGGGTTTCCAGGGAGTGGAAAGCATTATAGAGTCAGTATGACTTTCAAATGTGGTTGGTTCACCAAGAATAAGGGAGATATTCTAGGAGGAGATAGTATACACGGTTAATTATGAAAAGACACTGACCATTTAAACCTACGCTTAGCCAAATAGGGTAGAATTCATTTTTTTAGGTGTTGAAGTCACTCTTCTACTGCAGAGTAGCTCTTAACTTGTTGAGCTGGCCATGACTTTGGGATAATGAACATAAATAGGATAATATTATGTTTTTAAAAAAAATATATATATATATAAACCCGTTGCCATCGACTCAATTCCAACTCATAGCGACCCTATAGGACAGAGTAGAACTGCCTCATAGAATTTCCAAGGAACGGCTGGTAGATTCGAACTGCCAGCCTTTTGGTTAGCAGCCTGAGCTCTTAACCACTGTGCCACCAGGGCTGTCTCTCTCTCTATGTGTATCCATACATGTAGACATTTCCCCCTTGCTTTGTCAGTAGCCCATCAAGGAGACTGGGCACCACGTTCTGGGAGCATTTGAGAATACCAATAAATAAGTTAGCACGTGTAACAAACCAGTTGGACTAGTTGCCGTCTAGTCAGCTTCACCTCATGGCAACCCATGTGTGTCAGAGTAGAACTACGCTTCTTCGGGTTTTCAATGGCTGATTTTTCGGAAGTAGATTACCAGGCCTTTCTTCCAAGGCACCTCTGGGTGGACTCTAACCTCCAATTTTTTGGTTAACAGCCGAAGGTATTAACCATTTGCACCACCCAGTGACCCCATGTGTGAAAACCAGGAGGGCAGATAGACCTTCCTGCTGCCCTTCAATGGAAATCCTAGCTAATCAGGCACCCAAACGTGGCCACGGGCGTTTCTAACCAGGAGTCAAGCTGTTTACCTACTCTTGAGAGAGGAGAGGGTGCCGGAAGCCCAAAGCTCCCTGGGAAGACAACCCTTTCTGACCCAGCACTTGGATTTGTGAGAGGCACAACACATAGCCAAACAACTCAAAAGTCAACCTTGGCAAACCTTGGGGTACCCACTGCCCTTGTCCTCTCCTCCAAATTAGCCCCATATTGCCCAGAGCAAACCGGTGAGAAATGAGCTTGCCTTTTTCTTTTCACTACTGCCAGATCTGTGTAATCCTAGTCCTCATGAGGGGCCCTGGTGACTCAGTGGTTAAGAGCTATGGCTGCTAACCAAAAGGTCAGCAGTTCAAATCCACCAGCCGCTCCTTGGAAACTCCATGGGGCAGTTCTACTCCGTCCTGTAGGGTCGCTATGAGTCAGAATCAACTCGATGGCAAAGGAATTGGTTTTGATTTAAAATACCTGAAGGTGCTTAAAAAAAAAAGTAGTAGTCCTGGTGGCGCAGTGGTTAAGTGCTCGGCTGCTAACTGAAAAGTCAGCAGTTCAAACTCACCAGCCGCTCCGCAGGAGAAAGATGTGACAGTCTGCTTCCGTAAAGATTACAACCTTCGAAACTCTGTGCAGAGGTTCTGCCGTGTCCTATAGGGTCGCTATGAGGTGGAATCGGCTCAACAGCAGTGGGTTTAAAGGTCCTAGTTCTATTAAATGCAAACATTAGTGTAGTTGTGAGACGCTTAAAAAGCTGACCTTCCACAGTAAAACATCCATGAGTGCATATCGGAGCACTGATTTCCCTTTGACTCTCTTCCTTTCCCACTACAAGTCCGTTTTGCAGCTTAGTTATACCGTCTTCCCTCAGAAAGTGATCCGCTTTATTCTTTTACTGCCCAAACACCCTGCTTCTCCTGACTCCCAGCGGTGGCAGATGAGTTGAGTAGGGAAAAAGAAAAGTTGATTTTTTCCCCCAAAGATAAAGTTTCAGACTAATTTGTAGCTTTCATTTATCTGTATTTTCCCTTTTACCACGGACAAACCAAGAATTCGGCCATGTTATCAATGTGTTTCTTTTCCAAAAGGCCTGAGGATGGAGTTGATTTAATTTTTCCACGAATATCTTAGTATGTGAAGTATTGAAACTCCAGTCCTTTGTAGATGGACTAGTGTGATTTCTCACAACTGAATGTTTAGTGTTTCGAGTACAATGATTCAGTGCGTTCGCTTTATGCAAATACAAGGTCCTCGAGAATGGACTGTCTTCATGAGAGATGTTAAGTAGTGATTCATATCAGAACAGCACATCTCTCTACATTTTCCAAACTTCTAGACACATGGCCGAAGTGTTTTCACATGACTCAGCGGACCACAAGACGCACATGCAGCTGCCGATTGTCTGTGGTCATTGACTTTCCTCTCAATATATTGTCAACAATTTTGAAGGCGTTGGGTTGCTGTTGCTTTGGTTTCACCAGAATACTTGTTAAGCTGCAAAGGGAAAAAAAAAAAGCACCGTTATTGTCACATACTGCAGGGTGCCATATGAGAGCAGTTTTTAGTTTTTCAGCAGAATTGTGTAGATTTCAGAAGAGTAATTTGTTCAAAAATAATTTTAGAAAAGGACGATTCTACTCATTTACGTAATAACAAACACATTGAGGGGAGACCGAATCTGCACATCTGGTTATGCCATCGGGACGCTGGTCAGCTCTCAGGACTGTGAGCAGGGGCCGTGGGGGCTGGAGGGATGGGGGGCTGAGCCCATCTGCGCACAATTACAGCCCAGCCCAGGAATTACTTCCAATCAAGGGAAGCCAACTGACCCTAATGCAAAGCAGATGGACCGTTTCTTAACTTGCAAATGGCAGGATTATGGTACATCATAATTAAAGACATTTCTAAATGAAGAAATTTGAACTGACACCGCCCCGATGCTCATTATGTTCAATTAAGGCTGCTGGTAGTTGAATGATACTCAAGATTAAAACCTTTCAGCAAGGGGATGCAGATACTTGGGTCTGCTTCTGATGAATACAGTTTACTTCATTGGCCAGTGCTGGCAGGAGCTTTATTTCCTGTAGGGGATTTGACAGTGGGGAGCCCAGGAGAAAGGTGGTCCTGGAACACTCAGAAGAAGGTGCTTTATGAGTTTACAGAACTCACAGGTCAGCTTCTCTTCGCCATGCACCGCAGAACAAGATGAACGTTGAAATGTTCTCAAAGGTTACCCACTTTTCCAGTATCTGCACCCCCTCATCTGTAAAACTGTTTCTGTAGCACCCACCTGTCATCCTTGAACACAAGATACCATACAATCATCTTGTCAAGATTGGTTTTTCAGCCCTCCAAACAAATTTGGGAACCCCCGGCTGACACGGATGGTTCAGCACTCGACTGCTAGCTAAACGGTTGGCGGTTGGAACCCCCCCAGAGGTGCCTCTGAAGACAGGTCTGGTGATCTGCTTCTGAAAGGTCACAGCCTTGAAAACCCTATGGAGAGTTGTACTCTGCGCACGTGGGGTTGCCGTGAGTCGGAGTCAGCTCCATGGCAACAAACAGCCACCGCCACATTTTGGTAGCGTTTTTCTGGGCGGGGGGTGGGCAGTGGAAAGCTGCTTGTTGATTAAAATGATCAAGACTGAACTCTGTCATTTCCGTCAGATGAGAAACTGCCCTTTGAAAAAAAAAACTACTGGAAAGTTTCTATTGTCAGTGCAACAAAACTGTTCTGTCTCGTAAAAATTTATGTCGCTTCTTTTATTATTTGGGATTGGCTTTTAAAAAAGGACTCTTTAAGTGTCATGTAGACATGATGGAAAAGAGATCTGTATCATTTTTTGGCAGCCCTGGTGGCACAGTTTGTGCTCAACTACTGACCTATAAGATTGCGTTTGTTTTCATGACTGGAATCTTTGTGAGCAGCTCATTCTCAAACCTACCTCCAGCCGTATCTGGGCTGAAGACTTCCCTTTTCATCTGTCTGCTGAATTATTCCACACAAGTCCCATCTCAAATTCCTCCCCCCAAAATACACCCCTTCTCTTCAAATTCCTCCCCCCAAAATACACCCCTTCTCTTGTGGTTTATATCTAAACGATAATTCAGTTCTTTCAGACACCTAAGGAGTCTTAGAGCCTTTGACTTCTTGCACCTTCCAACATCGAGTTCTTTACTGCACATTTCTACTCCAGCACACATGGGGTTGCCAGGAGTCAGAGTCATCTTGATGCCAACTGGTTTTCTCTACCGAGTCAAGGGAAACTTCCCTGCATTTCATTCAAGGCGTCTATCTTCAAGATCTGCTCCCATTTTTCTTTCAGTTTATCTCCTGGCACATCTTACATTTTCGTCCCACAAGTGCTCTTTAACCCTAGCTTTCCTAGAAAGACACACCGCCAGGTACTTCATCCTGCCCTGACCTGCTGATGCCTTTTGTCTCATCCTGAAACGTCTTTCTGTTTTCTGATGCTAGACTCTTGAATATGTCCAGACTCACACCAAATGCCACTCTTCCGTGGCACTTTCCCGAACAGTCCCAATTGGAAATAAAGACTGCCTTCAACCAGCCACTCCAGATGCATCCTGTAACTGTTCAGATGCGCATGTAGCAGCCTGTTGCGGCTGCAGGCTCATTTCACGAGGGCTGTCTTCCCTACCAAGGTCAGGAAGCATGGTCTCCTTCATTTCCACACCTCAGAATGTCCCAGCACAGAACATTCTGCAATGGCAAACGTTCAGTAAATGTTTGCTGAAGGAATAGCCTAGCCCACTTTCTCATTCTTCCCTGAAGAATCCTTCCTGGGAACGAAGATACTGGAACTTTTACACCAACTGCTGTGACAATGGAAAGCCTTTCTCCGCTGAAGAGCCACTTACGGAATAACTGGGAGGGAAAAGACTTTTCACGGATATTTGCTGCTATCTTCTTAATAGATAGATTCTCTCAAGGGGCAGCAATAAATGATACCAAAACCTAATCCACTTCTGTGAAGTCGATTCCGACTCATGGTGGCCCCATGTGGTAATGAGTAGAACTGCTCCAGGGAGTTTTCTTGAGCGTAATCTTTACGGAAGCAGATTGCCAGGCCTTTCTTCCACAACACTGCTGGGTGGATTTTTCCACACAAGTCCCATCTCAAATTTCTTTCTCCAAAATATGCTCTTTTTCTTGTGGAGCCGAGTGAGTTAACCGTTTGCACTGCCCACAGACTCCTGGACCTATAGAAAATAGGATGCAGTTGGAGGGTTAGAGAAGGTGAAGGAGAGACTCCGGTGTCTATTCTAGAAAAATAACCACAAAATACTGTCAAGAGGGAATTAGAGAAAGAGACTGTCGTAACCAAAAGGTTGCAGGTTCGAGTCCCCCCAGAGGTACCTCGGAAGAAAGGCCTAGGGATCTGCTTCCGAAAGATCCCAGCCTTGAATACCCTTTGGAGCAGTTCTACTCTGCACACATGGGGTTGCCATGAGTCAGAATGGACTCCACGGCAACTGGTCAGTCCTGGTATGGACTGAGAGAAAGGTATTAAGAAGCAGGCTTGAAAAGCATTCATTTGACAGCAGAATGGGAGTCAGCAAAAGAGAATTCTGAGGTCAGCTGGGAAAGTTGAGGACAATGAAATAAGGATGCCCGAGGGACCTGCAGATCTATCAATGCCACCTCTTTCTCTCTCTTTCTATGTAGCTTCTCCAAATCCTTAATGTGGGACGAGCGGAGAATTCAGAGAGAAACCTGAGATCAGATCATAGCTCCCGGCAACTTACTTAATCTTCCTCAGACTCAATTACCTGTTTCAGAATGTAGATAATTAACCCTTCACCCTTGTCACAAAGCCAGAGTAACAATCGAGTGCCACCAATTTATGGTAAACCAGAGGCCAGCGTGCAGATGTAACTCGTCAGCAAATCACAACGGAGAGTGCAGTAGGTGTGGCGGATACATCCTCTAAAAAATATTTTTTTGAAAATCAATGACTTTTCGGTTAGATATGAATATGCTATTTTTAAACTATCCAACTCTATCTACCTAACTAAATGTTTGACAAGTAATTTAAAATTTTCCCAAACAAGACTTAACATGAATTCAGATCAAAATGCAGTTAAGAGTTGAAATTCAGCCATGTTACTAATGTGCATCAAATCTTACTTACGTTTTTGTATTTTGTATTTTGTCTGTTCAAACCTAGGAAATGGAAAGAGAAACAGAGCATTCTGAACTCACATTTTCAAATCAGTTTTCAGTGCTTTAGGCAAATGCTCATTCTCAACAGACAGTCACAGCAGTGGCGACTGGGGTTCTTGGTGTTGATGGCGTTGACCCATGAGGTGCTATAGATTCTAGCTAATTCAGCGAGTTTTACACATCCTATTGGTGTTATACATTTGTTTTATAATCCCATTTCCATAATGGCTACTATTTTGAACTGTGGTTCTTAAATTTTCAGTCAGCAGACAACTTGTACGCACTGTAGGGGGAAGAAAGAAATCCGAATGATGAATCACTCCAAAATGAGACACCTGTGAGGGACTTTTGAAGCAGTGCACTCAGTCATGCCAAAACCAAACATTATAAATTCATCACTGTCCCATATCAAACCATGAGTCTATACAAGAACATCCAAGCAATCGACTGGGGAATCCGAAAGACTCAGGCTTGGGGAATGGCTCTTGTGAGATGTGACCGCTTGAGAAGGTTTAGCACTGCAATTTTTTCCTTAAAAGGAGAACTCCCTGGGATAGAAAGGAGAGTGAACCTGTGAAACTTGTTAAAATGACCTTAGAATATGTCAGTAGCAAGGGAGGGTGTTATATGGGAAAAATTATCCAGAACTCCTTAGGGATGTCTCCTGTGTGAGTTTCCTGTTAAGCTCCACTCATATAACTTGGTAACATTATTTGTTTAGAAGGATCCACATAAAAGATTGCTGTTGAGATTGTTGTTGTTGGATGCCACGGAGTCGATTCCTACTCATAGTCGCCCCATGTCACAGAGTAGAACTGCCCCATAGGGTTTTCTTAGCTGTGATCTTTCTGGAGACAGATCACGAGGTCTTTCTCTGGAGGAGCTGCTAGGTGGATTCTTCAGAGTCAGGAATCACTTTACATCCCTCAGTGCTTAGAGGACACTGAGTTGCCGTAAAGGGTGATAGAAAAATTTGGGGACAGATCATGGTGACGGTGGAACATGATGAACATACTTAAAGTCACTGACCAGTACACGTGAAGATGAGTGAAATGGCAAATGTTTGGTTGTATACATATTTATTGTTGTTGTTGTTGGGTGCCCTTGAGCCCATTAGGACTCATAGCCCCATAGGACACAGCAGAATTGCCCTGGAGGGTTTCCCAGGCTGTATTCTTTACAGGAGCAAATCTCCAGGTCTTTCTCCCGTGGAGCTGCTGGGTGGGTTCAAACTGCCTACTTTTTGGTCGGCAGCCGAGCGCTTAAGCATTGCGCCACCAGGGTTCCTTGCGTATATATTTACCACAGTAAAAAAGGAAAAGCTAAAAGAAAAGGAGCTAATGGTTTTGAAATGTGCTGGGGTGAACTCTCTGTCAGAGGATCTCAATTATGAAGCCTTGCTATAGAGAGGCCACATTTAGGAAAGGCTTTGAAAGCGAGTATCAGTTGTCATCTGATGAGACTGGTCTCTTCCGTGGATTTTCCTCCTCAACTTTCACCTCAGTTGGAGCCACCAGCAGATTGTTTTAATTGACATGGTCCCATTGCAGGTGTCCCCCTGAAGCCCAGGAAAGAGTTACGATTCACAGAACTGTCGTCTGGACAGCTGGAGATTAAGTGGTCCTCGAAATTCAATATTTCCATCGAGCCTGTGACCTACGTGGTGCAGAGACGATGGAATTACGGAATCCATCCGAGTGAGGACGATGCGACGCATTGGCAGACCGTGGCTCAGGTTAGTGCTTGAGGTATTTACTTCTTCTCTTTGACGTCGCGTCTAGTACTCACATGAAAATTAGCTTGCTGTGCCTCAGTCAAAAGAGTTTTACTACCAAAAACCAAACCAAACCATTGGCCGTCGAATTGACTCCGACTCATGGCAGCGCTTTGTGTGTCAGGGTAGAACCGAGCACCATCGTGTTTTTATGGCTGTGACCTTTCAGAATTAGATCACCTGGCCTTTCTTCTGAGGCAATGCCGGGTGGGTTCGAACCACCAACCTTTTGGTTAGTAGTCGAGCGCTTAACCATTTACGCCACCAGGGACTCCAGGTTTACTACAGAAATAACTTAATGACGTGTAGAAATAATATCATACCGGAAACGAGAGAATGAGTTCCACAGCAATAACCCAGTAGACCTAGAAACTTGGCTATTGGCTTAATTTGCTGAAAACCCATGCACAAGAGAGAGAACTTTTTAATGTGCCTGCTCACATTAATTTTTCTCCAAGAAGTACATTTCCTTCAGATAAACTCAAAACTGACTAGAGGAAGGGAAATGCGGCGTTGCTAGGAGCAGTTAACTTGATATCCGATCATCTCCATGGCGTCTCTTCTGTTTCTTCCACATTCAAGCCTTTATGGCGCACAAGGGCCTCGGAGCAGGGAGTATGATTCATATCACAAAATTACTTAGGGAGAAGGAGCCAGCAGCTCATAAATCTTCACTAAGGCTGTGTTCTTCTTCGCCATTGACTTAACCGCTAACATGCCACCTGCGTGACAGCACTGCTGGAGTTTGTCTTCACAGAGCTTCCTCCTCTGCCGTCTCCGGGACGAGAAAACCGAAAGAGTTTCTTTCTTTTCAAGGGCTGTTAAATGGACTACCAGGTGCAAGAAAATACATGGCTGTAGAAAAAGAGTAATTCTTAAAGCAGAACGCCTTCGTGCTTTTCAACAACCAAAACTGCTGCCTCCACCTTTATATCTACAGGGAGAAAGTCTCACCTTCAGTTGATCAGACTGTCTTCCTCCACGGACTAGAGTCCCATTTTTAAAAAGTAAACACAGACTAGATTTCAATGTCCAAGTGTTTAGAGGAGGAATTCACTTCTTTTCCCACTAGGAGCACCTCAAAGGGGTAAACACTAACAGAATTTAAAGACCCTGCAATGAGTAGGTGAGAAGTTTGATGTCAAAGAAACTTCTTAGATTAGAAAAATCCTGGCCGAATAAATTTACTGTCATGAAAACGTAATCCTGTTCTATACCTATTTGGTAACAAAGAATTTGCTTTAATAAAGCATAAATCTGCACAGATCCTGCCTCAAATTCAATTTCATTTGCTTGGTATGCTCCCTTCAACAACAGTAGTCTCGTTTGTGAATTTTCAAAATTATTGAAAAGTTTCTGAAACCAAACACCACCACCAAAAAAACAAACCCACTGCCGTGGAGCAGATTCCAACTCATAGTGACCCTGTAGGACAGAATAGAGCTGCCCTATAGGGTTTCCAAGGAGTGGCTGGTGGATTCGAACTGCCAGCATTTTTGGTTAGCAGCTGAGCTCTCTAACCACTGTGCCACCAGGGCTCCAAGTAACTGATAATAAGATCACCTATTTTTTCCGCATCTTTTTTTGGAGAGAAGAGAGAACTTAAATTATTATTTCCTCTAATTAAGACCACCAGTGTTCGTCCATTCTCTGGCTGTTAATCTAGTGGATGCCACGCTGACTTCAGCTTTTGAAATTCACAGCTAAAGCTCTAAACAATGAAGTCAGTGAGGGTTTTGTCTCAGATTCCTCCCTATCAGGCAGAAAGCACCGTTTAAGTGGTCATGTTCTACCTCTGATCTCAGCACTGGGTAGCTTCTTTTAGCGATTGAAAGAAAATGTGACACTCATTCTCAGTAAGTTAGTATACACTGAGGTCTGGGGGGTTCGAGTTTGATTCTGTTTCAGCAGCTGTATTCACTGAGAGCCAACAGGCAGATCTGAGGCCGTCTATGGACTGCTGATATTGACTCCCTGGAAGTCAAGGCAAGGGTTCTGAGGTCTAGTATTGAAAACAAAGCATAGAACATTCTTGCAGGTAGGTATATTTCCCCTTAGGTTGATGAAGGAGGAAAGTGTGAAGACTGTGAAAGTTACCTGAGATCTTGGGACTGTGGCAGTAGAGACAGCAAAACCCAGTGACCTTCCTCAGCGTCTAGCTTTCTTCTTTAGACAAGCCTTTCACAAAGGATAGATGAACACGTCTCTCCCTCCAGGACCGGAACTGGGTCTGTGCACGTTATGTGACTTCCTCAAAGAAAGAAAAAAAGTGATGGGTGGCAGTTTACTCCCTAGAAATGACCAGCTTTCATTAAGTGTGTGGCTTTTCATATCTATTTTTGAAATTACATCTGACCCGCAAGTTATAGAGCCATGTTCTTTCCATAATTTAAAGATCATTTCATTTTCTTGTCTGTAATGTCATGATTAGCTTACTTATTATAAATATAAACATATATACTAAAGAATATGTATGTATGTGTATATATATATATATATGTATACATATACATATCCTTTCCCCCTGCCCCTTTTTGGAGTCCCTAAATAACACAAACAGCTAATACCGTTGGCTGCTAACCAAAAGGTTGGAGGTTCACGTCCATGCAGAGATACCTCAGAAGAAAGGCCTGGTAAACTACTTCTGAAAAATCAACCATTGAAAACCCTGTGGAGTACAGTTCTACTCTGACACTCATGGGGTCACCATGAGTCAGAATCAATTTTAGATCAACTGACTGGTTTGGTTATGTGTTCTTTGTTCATCAAATCCCTTGAATGCTGTATTTAATCACCAGATATAAAAATTTGTCCAAGTATTTGCCTAAAATTTTGATTTCCAGAGATCTTTAACCCTCTGGGTTGAAGAGTATCCACGAATGGAATTGGGTGATCAAAAATTGTTCCCGCATGCCCTGCCTTCCTAGAACTCCCCTGCTCCCTGACAGCTCTTCATAGCCCTCATGGTTAGTCCAGAAGGGCAGATGGAGGTCAAGGCTGAGTTGGGTTGGCCATGAGTTAGCACATGTGTTTACACAGACCCGACTGACATATCAGAATAAAAAGCCGCTCTGTGCTCTGTGCCATTTTCCCCCAGACCACAGACGAGCGGGTCCAACTGGCCGACATCAGACCCAGCAGGTGGTACCAGTTCCGAGTGGCTGCTGTCAACGTGCACGGGACCCGGGGCTTCACCGCACCCAGCAAGCACTTCCGCTCCTCCAAAGGTCAGTGTCCCTCTCTGCCCCCCAGTGAACACTTCTGCTCTCCAAAGGTCAGTGTCCCTCCCTGCCCCCCAGCGAGCACCTCCTCTTCTCCAAAGGTCAGTGTCTGTCCTTGCCACCAGCATGCAGGTTCCATGGGGCACACATGGAATGCACATTCGTCATCAGCACGTCCATGTTTGTGGTTTGCCAACAGGTGGCTTTGCTGTTCTAACCAGGGAGCTCACTATGTTTGAAGTTACTGTGTGAATGTGTGGTTAAGGGTATCGGTAGCCTTATCTTCAAGAGAGCTCAGAAGATAGTGAAATGGGGTTCCCTAAACTTTGAAGTGGAATTTCCTATTACCAACGTCTTTTGAATTTTTCCTCAAGATACTATGCTTCAAGCACCGCTCATTTTATTTTAGGAGACAAGGGTTTAGTTTTCACTACTTTAGACCATGTCCCTCTTCTTTATACAAATGTGAAATCAAGCCAGCTCCGGCTCATGGTAGGTAACCTTATGTATGAGGTGGCCGGGTCCTGTGCTATTGTTATGATTGTTGGTATGTTTGAGGCCATTGTTGAGGCTGTCACGTCAGTCTGTCTCGTTAAGGGTTCCCCATTTTCGTTGGCTCTCTACTTTACCCAACATGATTTTATGGGTAAAAAAAATAAATAACACAGGAAACATTAAAAGAAGGTGGAAGGGATACACAGAGTCACTGTACCAAAATAATCGCGTGTGGCTAAATTTCTTAGTTTTGTTTCGTGACACCTGGAATTTAAATCCCTCCTGAGTCATGTTATCATTGCTGTAATTTTGTTCAGTTTCTATCCCATTATGTAAAAATCTTTGTGGAACCCGCTGAATTCTATGTTGCATGAGTTGTTAGCTTAGTCTGCGACACTTGCAGGACATAGTTTGACCAGATGTGAACAATATTTGTTTTTCCAAAGATGTCTGTATAGCTGTGTGCCTTCTAAATTAATTATAATCTGCTTGGCTAATCATCAAGATCTAGTTTCATACATGCCAATTAATCGAGTTGTTCACTTGCTTATCAGGAGTTATTTTCTTTCCTAGAAGCTAATTTAAGTTTATTGTAAACAAAATGCATGATGATATTAATGCATAACGTAGGACGTATCATTAATCATTTGTCTTTCACTTTAGGGAGGTTTTCACTGGATGCTATAAATTTCAGTTTCTGTCCCATGAGTAGGAAAGCTTCTGTGTCTCAGACAGTCTGTCCATTTCTTACTTTGTGATATTGCTGCCACATTCTCTACATAATCATATGGCTCAAGTATAAAACATGCAATCAAATAATTTAATGTTTGGATTTTATTATAGTGCATGGTGTGGATGTTTAACTTTCTCTTTTCAAAAGCCATTTTTTTAAAAAGGAAAAGAGTGACTCCCCACCCTCCCCCGCAGAGGAGGCAAATACACTAACCAAGCAAGCTGTAAGATGAAATTATAGATGAAGCCATCCAACCTGTCTTAAGATTGCATCTCCAACTGGTCTGACGTGTTCTAGGAAGATGAGTGAGGATAAATAATTGATAGTGAGTGAGAAGCCGGGATCAGTAAACACCTTTAGAATCCTCACCTGGAGCTTCATGGTTCAAATGCAGTCCAGACATCTGGCGGTCAGAACGGGTTAGGATCTGCCCCGTTGTCTACAAGCTCTGGCCTGGTGAGCCCAGAACAAGTCCGACATGAGACAGAAGCGGTCCCTCGCCCCTGGAGGCGGACCCTGAATGTCCGTGACCACCCCTGGAGGCGGACCCTGAATGTCCGTGACCGCCCCTGGAGGCGGACCCTGAATGTCCGTGACCGCCCCTGGAGGTGGGCGGACCCTGAATGTCCGTGACCGCCCCTGGAGGTGGACCGACCCTGAATGTCTGTGATCATCCCTGGAGGCGGACCCTGAATGTCTGTGACCGCCCCTGGAGGCGGACTGACCCTGAATGTCTGTAAAGAGCAGTAGCACATTGTGCCTTGTAGAGGTGGGGAAGGAGGCTTTGCGCCCAGGAGTCTGCAGAGCTGTGCTGTTGCTCCATCATCACAATCTGAGCAGAGCTGCTTGGAGGGGCTGGCGGCGGGGGCTTGCTGCCTAGGTGGCATCCATTCCAGGGAAGCAGTAAAGCCAGGCCGTCCCAACCCTTCCCAGCTGCCCCTGAGCACTTTCAGAGTCTAGAAATTAGAGTCCCATCTCCAATTTTGGTTGACAAAGACATTCTTCTTCATTTCAACAAATGTTTCTGCCACCTACTGTGTGTCAGGCAAGTGAAGAAAAGGACAAACAGTATCTGCTCGTGTGGAACACACACAGACACGTACACTCATTCATATACATGGACATACACCCCACATACACACACAGACACGTACACTCATTCACATACACGGACACACACCCCACATACACACACAGACACGTACACTCATTCACGTACACGGGCACACGCCCCACGTACACACACAGACACGTACACTCATTCACGTACACGGACATGCCCCACGTACACACACAGACACGTACACTCGTCCACGTACACGGACACGCGCCCCACGTACACACACA